CCAGCCAGCAGCCAGGCAGAGTTTATCAGCATCCCTAGGAAAGAAATAAGCAGCAGACACTAGCACCCCTATCAAGCCTGGTCATGATGGGAGCCCTGGTCTTCAGTTTCTATTGGGGGGTGGGGGTGTAGACTGGGATGCACAAAGTGTGGGGTGGCCGAAGGCGTAAGAGCACAGGCTTTGGAGTCAGAAAGTATAGATTTGTTTTCCACTTTCAAATTTTCCAGCACTGTGGTTCAGCTTTCAGTCCCTTAACCAGAAGCAACCAACCAGACCTCATCTACTATTTGGACTGATAGAAACTGAGCAGCAATAAATGTTAGTCAATTTAATCTACTAAATTTTAGGATTTTTTAAATGTAAGAGAATCTAACTCATGCACATAATCACAGACTTAATATGTACCAAGTAGAACTTTCTCTCCAATTCTGATCCCAAATTTGTTGTTTCTCTAACCTTTGTTTAGTAACTGACGCTGACAACCACCCAGTTTTCAAGCCAGCAAACTAAGAATCGTCTTTGACTTTTCCTTTTTGCTCATGTTCATATTCAGTTCTTCAGCAAGTTCTACGGAATTCAAATCCCAAATAATTAATGAGCCCATTCATTTGATAAATATATATATTAAGAGTCTACTTTGCAGATGGTGGATCAATGGCTACTGGAGAAATTACAGTAAACAAAACAGGCACTACCACCTCCATCCTCAAATATCTGACGTGTGTGTGTGTGTGTGTGTGTGTGCGCGCGCGCACAGAGTTTCACTATGCAGCTCGGACTCTCAGCGATCCTCCTGATTTCTGCCTTCCTAGTGCTGGGATTACAGACGTGCGACACCATGCCTGGACTCCATCGCCGGCTCAGCACGCCTGGGTACAGGGCTGGCATGGTACGCGGTGTGCCCCGGATCAAACCCTGGCCCCTGTGATTACCTAAGCAAGGGCTTGGTCCGTAGCGCTTAGTCCAGCTATACCGCTAGCCCTTGACATTGTTATTAGGAGTAAATGACAATTTACAAATAAAACGCATGGGCCAGCCAAATAGCTTGGTGGATTAGCTCGGTGGACTAAAGTGCCTGCAAGCAAGCGCAGGGTCTGGAGTTTGATCCCCGGACCTGCTGTGCTGGCCCTGCCCCCGGAGCACACTGAGAGGGCAAATGAGACTGGGTGTGGTGGCGCGCAACTGTAATCCCAGCATTTGGAGGGCTGTAAACAGGAGAATTGTTACAATTCTGATCTAGTAGTGAGACCCTGAACACCCTGTAGACCCTTCCCTAAAATACAAAACAAAAATAAATAAATAAAACGTATAATGTCCCCTATGGGACAAAGCAATATGGAGGGAGAATCAAGTGAGCAAGTGAGCCAGATGGAAAACACCAGTGCCATTTTAGACCATGCGATCAGTGCTATCACCAAAGTGACGTCCGAATACCCCATTTTTTCTGTCTCTGCTGCCATTACTCTCCCCTAAGCCACCAATTGGCTTTGGTTTAGACTTCATCACAGCCACTTTACATTAATCCCCTACCTGAAACTCCTGTGCGATCCCCCATAGCTGTACAGGAAAGCCTTAAATCCTCACCAGAATACAGTTTTGTATGATCTGTTTCCACTCACCTTTCCAATTTTCTCTTGAACCAGTCACTCAATTCTGACCACTCTGGCCTTCTGAAAGTTTCTGGAACATACCCAATTCTTTTATGCTTCTTCTAACCCAATAAGTCTCAATGAAAAGAACAAACACCTTTATGTCCTTCTCATCCTTCCAGATCAGGATCTAGATCCATGAGTCCTCCTCTCCAACATCACACCCAATCAACTGCCTATTCTTTTTTCTTGTTTACTAGCTACTGATTAATTTACCGGGTCTTTAACCTCTCCAAGAAGCTTGTATTTGTATCTGTCCTACTCTGTATGTATCCCCAGTGCATATCCAGGTACAAACTTCTATTTATTGATTGAATAAATGTAGCCTTCCTGATCACCTTGTAATTAATAGCAAAGTACACAAAAATATCATTACACAGGAAGACCAAGACCTTATTTTTATAAATGCACAGATTATTGAGTACAGAACTACAGATCAACTACCTTATGTGTCTAGAAAATATAAGATCTTGTACACAATCGCAGAACTGGAACTGGAAGGATTACACTCATAGGTCTAGAGTCCTTTAAATCAGTAACCATGCCGACGGCCCTAATCAGGAGTTTGTCTGTAGTTCCTAACAGTGGTGAGTCCTTGGGTCAAAAAGAGGTTTTCCTCCCTTGAAACTTTCCAGCAGTTTGGCTTACCTGTTCTGTGCTTTAACTTTCTCATCCGCACCATGAAAATCTTTCAAAGTCTCAAACACCAGCTCTGGTAATTAGCTTTTACTAACTGTGAAAAAGTATAGGTGTGGGCATTCCTATTATGATTCTAAAGTCAAGGAAATGAAATAAATGTACTTTGCTCTTTTATTCCAAAAATCGATATTCCATGTTTCGGTAACTTTCACAACACTAAAACAACACCCAACCCCCACAAATGTAAACACAACTTCATCAAGTGCACCTCATGAATCTGGTGTTTGAATTATCCTTTTAAAAATTAAATTACTATCAACAGCAAGTTTTCTGATTTCCTTTCTCTTGTGCACTGAGATTTCTTGGAAAGGGGCTGGTTATTTATGGGATTACATCAAGCCTTGAGGATAACAGCTGTGTCTATGTAAAACGAAATGTAGCAGGACAAGCAGGTGTCAAAAGTCCTCAGATTCTTTGCTTTCGTTTTTTATACCGAATGCAATGTTCCTTCAGGAGAGGAATAAATGCTGGTCAGTGCCCCTATTCCAGAAGAGAGTGAAGGGCGAATGCACCAGTGCTGCTACTCCAACTCGAAAGTTCTCAGATGAGAAGGTCCTCCCCACAGTATCTCAGCGCCTGGGAGGGCTTTGTAAAAACCCAACACCAAGGTGGATACACCTTTCCCCCACCCATAAGGAGACGCACTTGGGTGGACGGAAAAACTTCGTGACAGAAGAGCTAAGACACCCTAAAATAAGTGGCGAGGCTGTGGCGGGAGGTCAAAGGCTAGCGGGTGACAGATGTTTTGCAGCTGAAGCCGGAGGAAAGGAGCAGGAAGCAGGAACAGCGCCCCCGCCCAGCACGCCACCCAGGCGCAGTGGAGTTCACTCGAGCGCACCCCCCTGGCGGGGTTCACGGCTTCGGACTGCGGCTTCGGGACCAGGCCGCCTGCTAGGCCCCAGCTCTCGTGCCGGGGCCCCAGCCTTTGCAGCTCTCAGGCGGGTGCGCTAGAGGGGCAAGAAATCCCGCCCTGGGCAGAGCGCCCCCTGCCTCGGCCGCAGCTCGGACCACTTCCTACCGCGCCCACAGCTGCCGCGCCTGCACCCGCTCCGTCTCCCGGCTGCTCTGCTCTGCTCTCGCCGCCTCGGCCCGGGACCCCACCAGCCAACTTCCCCGCCCTTTCCGTCTACTCACTCCCCTCCCATTTCACCTTCCCCGCGAGGTTTCCCCCACCCCAAGCCTCAAAACCACGCCCATAGGCGTGGATCAGCCACCTTCTCCATAGGCCACGCCCCACCTCTAGCCCCACCCTCGCCACGCCCAGTACCCCCCCGGTCCCACCTCGCCCCGCCCCGCCGGGCCCTGAGTGCCAAGTGGACCCCAGCCAGCTGCAGAGCCTACTGTTGTGCAAGGCTCTGACCTGCAGCTTCGAGATCGGCCTCCCGGGCTAGTCTGTGAACACACTTTGCTCTAGAGTCTGTTGTGCAGAGATAACCCCAGATATTCTGAAAGGAGGGGGCTTTTTTTTTTCCTCTTTCCGCTTTGACTGTTTGAATGAATTGGGTGCTCAACCTGTCCAATGGAAAGCCTTCAACTTCGTTCTCCCCGTCCCATTTCTCACGAATAAATCGATACATTCGGGCCTGTAGAAGCTATTTTACTTTTAGTTCTCTCCAAGCGCGTGTAGTAGCTATTTTACTTTTAGTTTTTTTCTTCAGTCGTGGTGCCGGAGGATCTGAAGCTCAATCCTTCATGCATAGAATCTTGGGTTTTCAGTCCTGGTTCTTTTTTTGTTGCATGTCTCTGGGTCGGAGTTTCCTCGTCTTCACAACTGGCTATACTACAGTACTTTACCAGGTTCAATGAGTACAAGATTAGTGAATATGAGGTTAATGAATAGGTGGGAAGATCCTACAAGAAACATTTCAAAGGAAAGGAAAGATTTAATAATAATTGATGATGTATGCTGAGGTAAATGGGGTTTATAACATGTGTATGGTAACTTGTGTGAGTTTTAGAGTAGCCTGTGTAGAGTGGGCATTATTTCCCTCCAATTACAGACAAGAAAACAGATTTAGACAAACACCTTGTTGGAGGGCAGGACTGGAATCTGGGTTGGTTGGTATCAACCACTGCACCATCTTTTTAGTACTACAGAATGGGTCAATTTTTTATGAAGCTAGGAAATAAATCTATTTAAGGCAGAAGAAAGAGAACTACGTGCCTGCTTTTCTTATTTAAAATACTTTCATTTTGCTTTTTTAAGGAGTGTGAAAAATATGATAGTTATAGAAAAGAGGTTGGTTGACAGGGAGTGAAGAGAACAATGGTTCCTAAGGAGCGTGGCTGGGTAAATCTTAGGAGCAAGGATGGGGATAAAACTAGGGCCCAAGAACAGGAGGGACAAGAATACACGTGGATGGCTGGCCTGATAGCTCAGCGGACTAAAGCGCCTGCTTAGGCAGAGCACAGTGGCTGGGATTCAATCCCCAGTGTGCTGTGTGGGGCCCCACCCCTGGGTGGCAGTTAAGACTGGGTGTGATGGTGCATACCTGTAATCCCAGCACTTGGGAGGCTGAAAACAGGAGGATCACTATGAGTCTGATCTACATAGTGAGACCCTGAACACTCTGTAGACCCTGCCCTAAATACAGGAAGGAAAACAAACAAACAAACAAACAAACAACATGTGGAGGTAAAGAACAGCAGAGGTCTGAGTCCGAGGAGAGTTGCATATTCCTAGAATGACTGGGGCTCACACTGAAATTGAATAATGAACAGCCACATTGAGGGAGGCTTCAGGGTGTGTTCAGGGCCAGCTGCCACTTGATTGTGTGCACGGCAACCCCACAGTCCTGTAAATGGTACCTGGCCATGGCTGTGGAAGAGAGGCCTAAAAGTCCATTATTTATAAGGGAAGTGACTAGACTAAATTCTCGGCTGTGCACATTAAACCCATTGCGCAAGATTTGTGATGGATTTCACTTGCAGGCTTTTATTTCTATGATTTTATTCTTTCAAAAGGTAAAGTTAAAGAGAAGCTAGATTATATTTGTCTTTGAAAGAAGTAACTTCAAAAGGCCTTTGAATTAATATGCAAAAGAGTTATGTCAGAACTTTATCAAACTACTGTGAATAGATATGTTCCAACAAGGGGTAACAGCAGTGAAAAAAGTTTCAGCATTCAGCATCTTATTATATACTCTTTGTACATAGTAAATTACTAAAGCACTACTGTTAAGCATCAAATGCTATTGTGTTTTAAAAAATAAATAAAATAAACAATCTTCAAAATTGACCAGCCCTAGAGATAGGCAAATAAGAATGGGTCAAAAAGATCTTTTGTGATATTCTGCTGTCAGAAATAATAATCTGGCTTCAAACTTGTGCCTAATTTAATTTTTCACTCTTTCCTCCTAGAGAAACTTAACTTCAAAATACTTTTGAAACTTAGAATATCAATGTTCTATCATATGTCTGTGATGAAATGCCAAAGTTAAAAATGATATTATTAAGGAACCAAAGGTTGCCCAATCAATCTCTTCGTTAAGGCTTTAGTTCAAATACACTCTCATTTCTATACTACTTGCTTTTCATTTCCATAGTTTCTTTGAATTTTGACAGTACCTGTATTCAGAAACACTAAATTGGCAGAGAGAATGAAATCAAAACCAAACATTCAAAGCTCCTTGCTGTCTGGGTTAAACTTGTAGGTTTTCATCACCCTAGCTAGTTGTTTTAAATATTTACACAAAAATTAATCCGTAGGAATAATCTAGAGAGGATGAAACTAAAGCAACTGCATAATTATCAGATAAACAACAGAAAAAGAGCAGAGCTAAAGGTGTCAATTCCTTAAATGGTGTTGCTGTCAGTTTTTCACTGTTAATGAGAAGTTAACACTTACAGTGGAGCAGAGATAGTCTTCACTTAAATGCTGGGCATGGTGTGATGCGCAGCTGCTATGATTTCTAGGAAATCTATTAGATAGAGTAATGGTTTGATCCTAAATGTCCCCCTAAGAGTTCATTTGTTCAGGAGTGGAGCTGGCCTGTGGCAGGTGCTAAACTCATCAGAGGATTGATCCATTGATCAGTACAGAGCTGAATGTGCTATTTGGAGGTGGAGCCTGATTCGAAGCGGCGGGTCATTGGAAGTGTGACTTCTAAGGTGTGCTCTTGTCTGTGACCCTTCCTCTGTTGCTGGCTCTCTTATCTTCACCTGCTTTCTGGCTGCCGTGGCTTCGGCATTCTTGCTCTGCTGCCTGCTTCCCCTGTGCCTTTTCTGCCCTTGAGCCAGCCAGCCACCGACTGAAGCCTCTGAAACTGTGCACCAAAATGAACCTCTCTCCCTTTATAAGCTGTGAGTGTCAGGTATTTTCTCCCAGTAGCTAAAAAGTGATTAATACAGATAGCAGTGTCACAAGAGGGTTAGAATGGGTCTTTCAGCACATAGTTTTCTAATCCAATTCCTACTCTGGTGAATGCAGCACATTTTATCACTTCATTTATTTATTCAGCAATTTTATCACCTCATTTAGTAAGCAAAAGGAAAATGAAATTAAAACTAATATGTTTTTTAAGGAGTTACCTTAAAAGCACTTTACACTCCAACGAACTCAGTGAACTAAAGTGCCTGCGTAGGCAAAGCACAGCGGCCCAGTTAGATCCCTGGCCTGCCGTTCTGGCACCGCCCGCGGGGTTCGCTGAGACGACAATGGAGACCCGGCTGGGTGGCGTGCGCCTGTAATCCCAGCACTTGGGAGGCTGAAAACAGAAGTCTGATCTACGTAGTGAGACCTTGTAGACTCTGTCCTAAACACAGAAAAAAAAATTTTTTTTGATGCGGAGGGCGTGGTGGTACACACTTGTAATCCAAGAAGTTGAGAGGCCTAGGTAAGAGGATTTCCATGAGATTGAGACCATCCTGGGCTTCATAATGGGTTCAAACCCAGGCTCAACTGAGACCCGGGTACAGTGAGACTTCATCTCAAAACGAACAAACTCACAAATATCATTTTGACATTTCCACTGCTGTAGAAAATAGCATGGCAGTTTTTAAAAACATTAAACATAGAATTAACATGCAATACAGCAGTGCCACCTCAGTATAAATCCAGGAAGTGAAAGCAATGATTTGAACAGGTATTTCTATATCCGTATTCAAGATTATTTGTAATCTCCCCCAAACTGTGAAGTAACCCGAATGTCCATTGGCAGAAAAATAGTGTGGCAAGGCCGGGGAGATGGCTCAGTGGAATAAGTGCTTCCCTGGCAAGTGCAAGGGCCTGAGTTCAATCCCCCGTTCCGCCAAAAATAAACAAACAAACAAACAAACAAACAAACAAAAAAATCCCAAAAAGAAAAATAGTGCAGCATTACGTGCTGCAGGATATTAGTTAACCTTAAACTTGGCTGAACCTGGGAGGCATTGTATTAAGTGAAGTAAGGCAGGCTCAAAAAGAGAAATATCGTATTATGTTACCAGAATTGTGAAGATCTAGAGGCAGAAGCCAGGATGGTAGTTGCCAGCAAATAGAGGAAGTTATTTAACAGGTACGTTGTTTCAGTTTATGATGATATAAATGTTGTCAAACAATGTGAATATACTTATGATGATAAGTTCTGGCCCTAGTATGAATTGCTGAATTATTATGGTGGTCATCTAATATGGCTGATGACCTGAAAACAACAGCTTATCTTCCCAGAGACAACTTCCCCTGCTCTTCTCCGAAACAGCCCAGGGTACAATTTCCTTTCACCCTTCCCGCCACCTCAGGGACTATCTAGATCAGCTCCTCACGTACATCTAATCATCCCGCTCAAATGCCACCCCGGTAAAAGCCCATGAAAGTCTCAGCCTCCCTTTGTTCCAATTCAGAGAATCCCTTATCTTCCCCACATGCTCTCCATGTCCTCCAAAATAATAAAGCCCCTCTCTCTTTTTCCTTCTGTTTCTCTGCTATGATGCCATTGGAAACTTATCATAATAGTTAAAATTTCAGTTTCATTTCATGTATATGTTCCAGCAATAAAAATATTTGACTTTGGGCAGTTGCTTTTAGGTGAATGGTAAAAATCTGCATTAAAGTTATTTTACAAGTAGCTTTTAGTGTTAACATTATAATTTAGAATTTTATTATTATTAATTTTATAGAACACTTGTTAA